AAACGACATAATACTTTATTACATGTTCCAAACCCATCATTGAATACAAATCAACCATCGGGAAATGTTATTAATAAATCCAGTTCCAACATGTTGCAGAATGTTGGCAATAATGGCAATAATGATTCGACTGGCCCACAAAATGAAAATATCGCAAATAATGTCACTCTTAATCATTATGCCCAAAAATCACGAAATTTTTATGTGTTACTATCCACAGCTTTAGTAAATATCAGCACGTCTGAGGAAAATACTCCTATTCTAGCTCGTGTTTTACTGGATAGTGGCTCACAGTCCAATTTTATTTCTAGCTCTTTAGTTGAAAGGTTGAAACTACCTACATACAAAACCAATATACCTATTTGTGGCATAAATCAAATTAAAACCAATATATCCGAGCAAACACAAATTTGTATATCATCAAGAAATAATGATTTCAAAATTAAAATACCGTGTCTGATAATTGATAAAATAACCGATTTTTCACCTCAGGAAAGTTTTGATATTTCAGAATTAAACATTCCAGATTTGCCTTTGGCGGATCCAGATTTCAACGTTGCATCAAGCGTTGATATTCTGATTGGTTGTTCCTTATTTTTTGACTTATTATCTACAGGGCAAAAAAAACTCGGAAAAAATTTGCCTATTCTTCAAAACAGCCAGTTAGGTTGGATTATTGCAGGCAATGTACCTAAATCTCGCCAGCAATTTAAATCTTTTTTTATTCAGACAACTGAATCCGAATTAAATACTCAATTGGAAAAATTTTGGACAATCGAGGAAGTCCCTGAATGCAAATATAGTATTTTAACTCCTGAGGAAATAGAATGTGAAAAGCATTTTATTGAGAATTTTTCTCGTAATCACGATGGCCGATTTGTGGTTAAACTGCCGTTGAAGAACAATTATTTACAGATAGGTGAATCCGAAAATCAAGCTTTGAAGAGGCTGTATGCTTTAGAGCAGCGACTTTCGAAAAACAACCACTTAAGAATTGAATATAATAACTTTATATCAGAATACCACGAACTTTCTCACATGAAGGAAATTTCGAGCGAATTCAGGCCTCCCACGCCCATCTATTATTTACCACACCACTGCGTTTTAAAACCAGACAGTTTAACAACAAAGGTTCGCGTTGTTTTTAACGCTTCTGACAAAACATCAAAAAATTTGTCACTAAATGATGTTTTGATGGACGGACCAGTCATTCAAAATGATTTATTTTCGATTTTGATTCGATTCAGGAAGCATAAAATCGTTTTGATAGGCGACTTAGCTAAAATGTATCGTCAAATTTTAATACATCCGGATCAAGTTGATATGCGAAGAATAGTTTGGAGAGAAAATCCTAATCAGAAAGTGAAACATTTTGCTTTACAAACCCGCATCTTATATTGCCACCCGTTGTTTGAAACAAATCTCAATCGAAAACACTAATATGTTTGCGCGTGAAAGTGAGATAATACAGAAAGACATGTATATGGACGATCTTCTAACAGGATGTTCCAATATTGATGACATGATTAATATCCGTGTAAATCTTTGAAAATTATTTTCGAATTATGGATTTGAAATAAGAAAATTTCAATCCAACGACCCTGCAGTTCTTCAAAGTTTAAATTAAGTTAGTGATTCTCAGTACGTAATAATGGATAACAATCCTACAAAAACATTAGGCATTTCTTGTAAACCTTCATCTGACAGCTTTCAATATAAAGGAGAAGAATTTATTGGTGGTACTCAAACAATAACCAAAAGAACTATTCTCTCGTTCATTGCCAAAATTTTCGACCCTTTAGGTCTTTTAGGACCTATTTTAATTCGCGCCAAATTAGTGATGCAATCTTTGTGGCAACTTCATCTTGACTGGGATGAAGACGTTCCAGTTGATATTTACAATCATTTGCTCAATCTGCAAACCCAAATGTCAGAAACTAACGCAATTCAAATTCCCCGACACGTCCTTATCAGTTTTCCGATCATAATTCAGATTCATGCTTTTTCTGACGCCAGTGAAAAGGCTTACGCATGCTCAATATATTTACGTTCTGTTGATGAAAATGGAAATATCCAATGTCACTTACTCTGTGCAAAGTCTGTAACGGTTTCGATTATTTTAGGATTCTGTATATAAAATGTGCATAAGTATCATAATTGTATGATATGGGAAATTCCTGAGAGTATATTAATGCGTCGATACGTTTCCCACACAACGCGTTAGGTACCCCTCGTACCCCGCTTTCGCTAAGGTGCACCGATTGGTTCCTATCGAATTGTGAAAAGGTGAAATCACCTTTTCACCAACCAAATGACCACCAAATAGTGGTCATTTGGTTCTTGATCCGATCACAGCTATTAATGGAAATTTTGAAAAGACGTCAGGTTGTAGCACGTTCCTTTTGAAGGGATCAATATCCATTATTTAGCACCCTGAGTGAATTTGGTTCTCTTGTGGAGTTGTTGTACTCACTCATCGACTTATGTCAGATTAAAGTGATGGCCTCAAAGCTGAAAATTACTCAATTCTCTTGGTGAGTTTTTCCTATTATTTAATTACCTTTTCTGAGTATATTGCTAAGTGTTGGGGCTTATTTGTGACGTGTTTTCTTTTGCTATAGAAAATTGGAAGATCGTCTATTCTTGGAAAATCGACAAACTTCTAATATTGAAGCTGAAAATCCACACTTTACATCCCAGTGTGTAAGTAGCAGTACTTAATTGTTTTTTTATTTGAACGAAAAATCAATGAAGGTTGTGCAATAATTTTGGCAAATTGAATTCAAATATTTTGCTCTTCAAAATATTTCTCAGGACATTTTTTTATTGCACAATAATTCATAGAAAATCGTAGTTTTCTATAGCTATATTTCATTAGGGTTTTTATGTCATATTTTAGGGTAGCAAGGTTGTACCAAGAGTGTACGTAGTTATACCTTTAAGAGCAGTAAAGCAGCTACTCAATATCCAGCCCTCGTTATCTTGTTATTCTCACGATTAATAAGGCCCTTTGGATCGCCTATTATACAATCCGGACGTTAATACAATCTGTGGATTCTCCAGATTGCCAGATAAGTGTATCAACGTCTTTGGGGAACCTATTTTGGGAATAATATCAAGTTACTATCGAACATTTATTTTTATATAGTGTGGTTATCAATATTGTGTACTATTTAGAAAATATCCAACATATTTGCGGGTTCCTGAGTCCTCATAATTTTATAACATTAAACCTATAGTCAGTATTGAGGTCGACAAAATTGTTTGTTTACCTCCTTGGAACTTATAGCTAATCTTTGGAAACTCTATGCCATAACATTTCGCGCCTAGAGTTTCATATCTTAAACGCCTATACTGAGGAATGTGTAACTGTATACATAAATATTGTGTAAGCCGATTGTGATCACAAAAGGTACCTACTGAGAAAGTTATTAAATATAGGCATTCCCTAATAGCAAATTTAAGCATTACTTAACATTTATTCTAGGTGCGATTTCGATAAGCATAATCTTTTCTAGAGTCTCAGGAGCACTGAATGTTTTATTGTTCCATATTTTCAGAAATCCTAATATACGTACATTTGATTATTTTTCTGTTTAATTGACTTCCCCTAGCTAATGTTTAATTGACACTTGATGATACCCAGTGACCAAGGTTATTTAATGAAGTTTAGAATGATTCGGTTCCTTGTAAGATGCAGAAAGTAAAGTAGAAAGTATTACGTGGCCGGATACTTAAACGTTTTGAGAGTGTAAAGGGATTTTCATAAGGTCACTGGCGCCCTTTTGTTTCTTATTGATACTTTAAGAACTTGCACGACCACTCACCGGCAGGTAGCTAGCCTGACACTCTTATTGACCACCCTATTTTGTGTATCTTGCTTTAGGGGAAAATTGGAGGGTGCCAAAATGGCGCCCAACTATTACGTTTCGGTTTAAATTTTCAACCCCTATTTGGGAAAATTAGCTAGGGATAGTCTAATTTCAAAATTTTGTGGATTTTTTTTTTGGTAACTTGCAAATTCTTTCTCATTTTCTTGATCAGGAACGCGACAAAAAAAAAAGGATAGTACGTATGGTGATCGAAATAAAAGATTTTAAGCATTTTGCTTGATAGTCTAGGAAAATTGTCGATTTTCAAAAAAAAAATCCTATTCAAAAGAACTTTTCAGGGATGATAGGGGGAGGGTGGGTGATTATAAAACCGAAAATATCAAACATTCACCCCTCTGGCGTTTTGCGCTATAGGGGTTGAAAGTGCGCCATTGGCGATTACTTGGTACCTATTGATTTTACAAAAAAATGTTTCAAATAAAAGATGTGTAACATTATTTCTACAATGTTTATCTAAAGACTTTGTTGATTAAGGGCCGTCTGTGGTCATAAGGGCCGTTTGAAATTTTATAATGAAAATGAAAAATTTTAACCAACGTGAAAAATTTTTCTACAACTCATACAACATTTTTGCTTTATGAAGTTTTTACTGCCACTTTAGTTCCTAGAAGAGTATTACTCTAAGGGATTCAAAATCATTTTTTTTACTACTAACCTGAGAAGTTCGAAATCTGGCATCATGGCCGGAGAAACAGAAAAAGAAAACGCTGTCGCGAAAAGTTGCAAATACTGTAAAAAAAGCATAGAAAGATCGCTAGTTTCGTGTGTAGTGTGTGACGTGTCCTATCATCCCTCATGTGCGCTTAGGGTGAAAGGTCTTATAGTGATTGGGGGCCGAAAAAGTGATGTAAATTGCTGCTCCCAAAAATCGGCCATTGAAGTCAGTCCCAAGGACAGCAGCGAGATGGATGCGGCATCCAACTTCATAAACAATCAAGTCTATGAAGAGCTCTTGAAAAGTAAAGACATCATTATAGAAGAGCTGAAAGACAAAGAAGCCATTCTTCAGAAAACCCTCACGTTATTGGAAGAAAAGGTGAAAAGTCTAGAAGTATTCTTGGAAAAATCGACAAACAGCGTGACAACAGTGCATTCCACTCATTCCAGGACGCCCACAGCAGCTGATGTCAACTTGACAGAAAGTAAACAACACAAGGAACCTTGCTTGAAACATAGTGTGACCCAGGCGACCCTGGGTGCCGCACCACCTGCACCGGACAGTGCACCACCTGCACCGCCCACTCCAAAAGTTGCGCCGTCAGCCTCGACCAAATCATCACAACCGACGAACCTGGGACCATACACTGCGCGCACCTGCACCGGTGTGACCCAGTGTTCAGTTCAAACGAGAGCATCTGGATCTCGAGCAAACCTAACCTCACTAGAGGATAATATAAATACAATAACAGAAACAGCTGTTCTTAGTCACAGAAAACCAGGAAAATCTGGGAAAACACCAGAAGAATCAGAATCCTTACTAGCACAAGCACATAAAATGGAAATAGTGCAGACAAGGGTTATGAATGAAATAATAAATCTCAGTCCAAACAGAAATAACACGAATCATGAACGCAAGGATGCTGGAGAATCTACTTCTGATGGTAATTGGACTACTGTACAACGTAAAAAAACAAAAAGTAAGGAAAAGGGGCTAAGAGATCTAAAGAGCCGACCATCACCTATTAGGGGTTCTAATGATAACCATGGAAGTTCACTGAAGGTAGCCCAGAGGTACTCATGGCTTTTTATTTCAGGTCTTGATGCTGAAATGGCTGCATCTGATGTCATCCATTATGTTAAAACATTTAGCAATGGTCAATTTGTATGTGAAAAACTCCAAACAAAAAAAGGGCAATTTGTGTCCTCATTTAAGCTAGGGGTGCCAAAAAATATCAAAGACGATATTATGGTAGGTGCTATGTGGCCTACAGGTGTAATCATCAATGATTTTCGGAACCTGAAGAGTCTTACGAGGCAATAAATCCAGACGAGGAATCCTGCTTGGTACTATTCCATGTGAATGTGCAATCAGCACGTAATAAGGTAAATGAACTGGAGGCATGTCTTGGACAATCCCTACCAGAAATAGTGTGCTTAACGGAACACTGGCTTTCAGAAGATGAAATGAAATTACTTCAAATTTTAATTTACAATAAGGTGTCTTACTTTTGCCGCAGCATTTTTAGCTGTGGTGGAGTCCTAACTTTTTTAAAACCTGGCATTAAATATAAATCTCTAAATAGCATAAATAGTTTAAGCCAGGAAAAATTTCTTGAAATATGTGGTACTTTTTTGTTGGATTATAGGATACATATACTGAATGTCTATAGATCGCCATCTGGTAATTTCCAAAGTTTTTTGGGTATTTTAGAACAGGCCTTAAGCCAGATTGGTGTTAAAAATAAGGTGGACTTGGTGGGTGATTTCAATGTTAATTTTTTGTCTTCTCAGAGGGAATGCATATTCTTGTGCAATCTTTTGGAGTCCTACGGTTTTGAGCAAAAAATATGGAAACCTACAAGACAACTGAACTGCCTTGATAATATATTTGTGAACTTCGATTCTGACTTACACACTGCAGATTTTATGGATGTTGGATTGTCTGACCATTTAGCTCAAACCATAAAATTAGTACACACAAAAAAAGTATTGACAATTAAAATGAAAAAACATCTTTGTAGACCAATAACTACTGCAGGTAAGGATAGATTCTTTAATTTACTACTAGATACAGATTTTGACTATATAAAAGAAAATGGTATTGGGGTGGAGCGAAAGTTTGAAATGTTTGTGGAGTCTATGCAGGGCATTTACATTGAAGCGTTTCCAGAAAAACTGTTCACTATCAATGCAAATAGGAACACCAATATAAGCTGGTTCAATGACAACTTAAAAAATATGAGAAATCACCTGCTTGTGTTGAATGATCTGTATAGACGCCAATCCACAGAGCAACTTAGACTACAACGAAACACATACAGAAATCAGTATAAATCTGCTATAAGAGAGTCAAAAATTTGCACTAATGATCGACTTATCCGGAATTCGGATAATCCAATAAAGTGTAGTTGGAATATAATAAATGATTATAGGGGCCTAACCCCGAAGAATAACCAGAAGAACATCTATATCATCAAATGACTTTAATAATTTCTTTGTAAGCATTGCTGAAAACCTAAAAGAAAGCATTGCGCCCACAGATTTCAACCCATTAGTGAATTCAGGAAAACTAAAAGATAGTTTGTCCCAGCATAGATTTACTCTCTCTGAAGTCTCCTTTAATGAGGTACGGGAAGTAATTACCAACTTAAAAAACAAAAAGAGTAAAGATATGTATGGTATAAATGTTGACTTGGTAAAAAGCTGTAAGAACCAGTTGGTTCCCATCCTGACAAAACTGATAAATTACTGTTTTGAAGAGTCTGTGTTTCCCACTTGTTTGAAGAGGGCTGTGGGTATACCAATATTCAAAAAAGGAGAACCAAATGATCCATCAAACTATAGACCCATATTCTTATTGCCTGTATTTTCTAAAATTGTTGAGAAGTGTATGGCGCTTAAAATAATTGCATACTTGGAAGCAAATGGCCTATTTAATCCGGGTCAGTATGGGTTCCGCAAGAATATTAACACAACCTTGTGCGTACTTCAACTGGTTGAGGAGATTGCCGAGGCTTTTTAAAATCATGGGTATGTCTCTGCTGTGCTATGTGACTTAAGTAAGGACTTCGACTGTGTCTCCCACGACTTGTTAATTGGTAAGCTTGCATACTATGGCTTTCATGAGAACAGCATAGATCTTCTGCGTTCCTATCTTGAAGGAAGATCCCAAGTGGTGAGAGTAGGTGGGGTGGAGTCCGGGGTGAGAGGCATTGGTATGGGAGTACCACAGGGCTCCATCTTGGGTCCAATATTGTTTTTAATATATATTAACGATCTGCCTCTGGTGTCCCCTGAAAGGTGTCTTCTCTTTGCGGATGATACTACCATCCTTGCCACAGGTCCTAGTGCGATTGAGGCCGAGGCTGGGTCGCGGGAGGCACTGTCGAGGGCGAAAACATGGTTCTCTGCAAATGCTCTAGTCCTAAACACTCAAAAAACCCAAGAAATAACATTCTCCTTGAGAGAGCTAGATGTTCCTGACCACAGGAAACTTGTTGGGTATAACCCTCGACACGAAGTTGGTCTGGGACAAACATGTCGAATGTCTGTCAAAAAGACTCAACACAAATTTATTTATATTGATAAACCTTGCAAACTGTGTCTCGAAGGATGTGTTAAGACTTGCGTACTTCTCAATTTTTCATTCAACCATGTCCTATGCCATACTGATTTGGGGATACTCTAGTAGTGCCATGCAAGTGTTTCGGCTACAGAGAAAAGCAATGAGGATTGTTGCAGGGTTGGGCTATAGAGATGACTGTAGGCAGGCATTCAGAGAGAGCAACATCTTGACATTTCCCTCATTATATTATATCCTAGAAAATCTGATACACCTTAAAAACAATGTTTCACACTATACAACCCATGTTGAAACCCATGACCATGACACTCGTAATAAATGCCTATTAGTCCCAGCCTATAAAAGACTCAAACGAAGTCAAAATGGACCAGGCTGTCTAGGAATAAAGTTTTATAATAAACTGCCTAATACAATTCAGACACTCGCACCGGGCCTGTTTAAATTAACAATAAAAAGATATCTCTTGGGTAAGGCATACTATTCAGTAGATGATTTTCTGGCGGATGTTTGGGGGGAGGAAAAGGAATAAGGAATTGTGCAAGGAAATTACCAGGTGGCCAATAATGTGATATTTTTATTTTTTGTTCTTTTATTTAATTTTTATATTTACATATTTGTATTTTACTATGTTTTTGTTCATTTATATTTTATATTTTGTTTTTGTTAACGTTCTTACACCTACCTTTAATAGAATATTTATACCCCTAGTCAATACCTAACTACTTTTATTTATTTTTATATTTGTTTTTTACCTTGTTGTTCTCTTATTTATTGATCTGTCTTGAACTTGTGTACATCTTGTGAGATGGAATTGTAAAGTGGGTATCCATTGTAGTGCAGCTGTATGTTTTAAATTTTAAGTTTTAAATTTTTGAATCCCGAATACCATTTAGTGGTTGTCGGGAGCATATTTCTATTATTATTGATAATTTGACGCATGTAAACACTTTGTGTAATTTGACATGTTAAATAAATAAAAAAATGATTTGATTTACTCACCCCCTGCCGTTTTTCAATAGGGGTACTTTAAAGTTTTTTTATTTTTTTACAAAAAAAAATTCTTAATAAAAGTTTTATAAGATGATATTCCTACAATTTTTCCTGATCAACTTTTTTTGTAACTCACCCCCATTCAGCGGGGGAACACTTCCCTCTGGGAAATTTTAGTTTTTAGGGGTATATATTAATTTTTTTTTCTTTCCTCGCCTTTAGTGCCTATAAAAAGTTGCATTAACATTGTATTAAAAGGATTTTTTTTTCACACCACCTTTTTGTTTTTAGGGATAGTTCGCCTATTTTCAACTTTACAAAAAAAAATTATTAAGAAAACTTGTTCATTTTAATTCTGAGCAACTTTTCTCTATAACTTTTTTTTGTATAGTTGAAAATAGGCGAACTACCCCTAAAAACAAAAAGGTGGTGGAAAAAAAATAATTTTAATACAATGTTAATTGCACTTTTTTATATGCACTAAACGCTAGAAAAGAAAAAAAAAAATTAATATATACTCCTAAAAACTAAAATTTCCCTAAGGGAAGTGTCCCCCACCACAGACGGCCCTTAATCAAAAAAGTCTTTAGATAAACATTGTAGATCAAATAATGTTGCACATCTTTTGTTTGAAACATTTTTTTTGTAAAATCAATAGGTACCAAGTAATCGCCAACGACGCACTTTCAACCCCTATAGCGCAAAACGCCAGAGGGGTGAATGTTTGATATTTTCGGTTTTATGATCACCCACCCGCCCCCTATCATCCCTGAAAAGTTCATTTGGGTAGGAATTTTTTTTTTGCAATACATGTATTTTTCGACTATTTTCCTGGACTATGAATATAAACAAGGTCATCTGTTTATTATTATAAAGGAATATTTTTGCATTGAAAATTTTGGCATAGCCTTGAAATAGTTTATGTTCATAAATTCTTTTGGACAATAATGTTTTCGACCTTGCCTTTCGACATATTTCAGATAAAATTAAGCCTTGGGTCATATTGAATTTTTAAAATATAATAACTCCTGCAGTATTGCCAAATTTAGAATTTTCCTGGGTTACAATATTTTGGGAAATCGTACTTCACTGTGAATAGAGGGTATTTTTGTAATAACCCCTGGAGAGGAAATACCTCTATGTGGTTATTTTTTATAGGTAACCATTGTTGATTTTTTTTTTAGTTTGGTCGATGTAGTATTGGGATTTTAGGAAGACGAATTAGATAAAATCGTACGTGGTCTAGCTTGAGAATTTTGGAACGGGTTTTACTTGAGTTTAGGTTCCGAGTTTGGTATTATTTTGTAAACATTATAAAGACCTTGCTTTGTTGATACGTTGAAGATTTTCCGGTTTTGTTCGGAACTTTTATTTGGACTACTTTTGTAG